TCTATTTAGATGATTGACATTTTTTATTCATATGGATTGCATTTACCATGTTTTATATGAATTTTTTGAAGCAACAAAGTTTTGGTTACACAGACTTTCAGTGGAAGGAACGGAATCTCTCAGGTTTATTAAAAATATCTTCATTATGTCTTCTTATAGGCTTGAATTAGGGTGAATAATTGATGACAGCATTTTAATTTTTGGGTGAAATAACTGTTAAGGTCACCGCCTGATTTATATCTTCAGTTCACCAACAGAGGCTCCAAGACCTGGGTGTGTCATCCATCCAAAATGTGCAGCAACCAGAACTGAGAAGTATATCTTTACAAAGTATTGATGAGGTCTTTGACAGTCTACTAACATTACACAATAAATATCAAGTATTGATAACACTCCGCCTAATATGCTATTATTGTACTTAAATGGTACCCAGTAATGCTCTTCCTTCTACCCACTGAGTGCACTTAAGTCCGTAATGCGTTTGTGCAGTTGAAGCACACCTCTCACACCACTAAAACCTTTCATGTGGACTTTGTGTGCAGTGAAGTGTAAAGATTTGCATACTATTGTATAAATGCTAATTAGGAATGGGGGAAGAATCAGTTTCCGGTGTTCTGCTGGAAAAGGGAAACTAAACAATAGAGAAACACACCGGCTGTGTCTCAAAACCTTTTGGGTATTAGAGGCAAAATACGGTGTCCGATGCTTTTTAGATAGGCAGCTCACTAGGTTTTGAGACACATCCAACTAGCTTAAAATGGAACAGTTAGTATTTTAGTACAAACCTATGGTTATACTGTAATGATGGAAGAAGCCCGGCTAGTTCATGACAGGCTCAAGATGAGCGTCTGTCAACAACGGAAAGCCTGAACTTTATGCAACTATAAATGCCTCACATTCACCATTATGTTATAAACTCAAGTGTTAAAAGAAAACAGACTGTCTTACCGTGGTGTGCTGCGATCCTGCGCTTTATTCCCGGTGAATAAACAGTTATCCGGCTTCCTCCGCAAATAACCGTGGCGTTTGTTGTCGTTTTTTGACCGCAGGGACGTTTCAAATCAACACACGGTCCATATTTCTACCAACGTCCGCCTTCTAGCTTGCTTAGAGTATAATTTGATAAGTATGGATGTCGTACAACACTTTAGTGTCTATGAAGTCTTTATCTCATTCTTTCGCTAACGGTTCTTTAGCCAGCTAGCCAACTGTTTCCTCTTTGAATACAGGCCGCGGCTGGTGAATAGGCCCGCTCCCGCGCCTATCATATTGCACAGTTACATCCGCACTTTTGATTCTCGGTATGATTTGAAGACTAATTTTATTCTGTGCCTGATTGTCTTTCTATCTAACCCCTCTTTTTTGTCCAGGATACGCAAAATGGCTACGTGGGGCGGGAGCCAACCGGAAGGAAGGTCAAAATTATGTGCCACTTGTTTCCGGTGAAGAGTGGCGTCGGGAATCTGACATCTTGATAAGGGCAAAGTTTTGTTTTTTTTTGAGCTTTAACAATAAAGATACAATGACACGTTGTACATAATAACAACTGCTAGATACATTACCCAACTTTAAAGTGTAGATTATAACATTGCTATAATAAACAGACTGCTCTTTTAAACAGAAGAGATGTTTCATACACTTCATGTTACATGCCAGCTTGTTCACTGAGCCATACAGTTTCTAAAGTCATTTTTTGAATCTGCACAGAAAAGTCTAAAATAAGGTTTTATGGTTACCTTTGCTTTATACAACTTGAAATATCCCAAGCAAAATTAACAATTTTATATTGCAAGAGCAAAATAAATAAGAGGTTCTGGCTCAAACTACAGAAAGTCAAATCAGTTCACATTTATTTATATAGCAATACAGATTGTTTCAAAGCAACTTCACATGAATAAACCGTATAACAACAGTGTTACTGTTGTAAAATTCATCAGTTATAAAATTACATCAATTTCAACTGTAAAGCAGCAGCACTGCAGAAGACAATACTGTCATTATTCAGCTCATTTAATTCTGTTTCAATTCAGTTCAATAAATGTCATTGTTTCAATGTCCATAAATTATGGAACAAATTCAATTCAGATGCAAAGCAGCTCTACAGAAGGCATTAATGTTATTATTCAGCTCAAGTTAATTCAATGTTGATTAAATTCAGTTCAATAATAGTGTTGAGGCTGCAAAGATCATTATCCAGCTCAATTCAGTTTAAATTTTGTTCTCATCCAAGAGTGTTAAAAGTGCATATAAATCGATAATGTTACTGAATCTGAAAGGACATAAAGGTCAAATATCGCATCGAAACTGATTACGAAAAGGGATGGTTAATGACTATGCATAGATAATATCTATGCACTTCAAGGGCAAACTATGTATGTTATACTTGTGTACTGTTGAACTCTTTAATGAGGGTGTCAACATGTCAAGTTAATGAGGGTGTCAAGTTAACTTTTAAACATTTTGCTGCCTTAATTGATTACCAGTTACTAACAACTAATAACTATTACTAATAACTAATATGATTTCTATTTTTTGAGTTTATATATATATATATATATATATATATATATATGGGTACATAAACATGTACTATAATGAGGCCATGGTTAATAATGATGTAATCAATGAACAAACTTTCATTACCATTAAAGGGGAAAAAAAACATATTGACTCTCTACTGTCACTGACACTGTATTTCCCTGTGTATGAGTGGATGGCAGTTTACTATAAAAGAGAATTGACTTGTCAGAAAAAAGACCTGTTTATATTTTCATAATTAGTCATCTATTAGATAGCAATGCAACTGAATGATGTTTATGCGTGTAGTTATGACTTTGTGACAATTAGAATACTTATAATGAAATTAGAATTTTTTACTTTACAATTGGAACCATTAAACATAACGTTAAACTAGAACACTTTCAGCAGTTTCCATAAAGCCACATAAGGGTAGACTATTATTTAAAAGTAAAAACAATTATGTATTGATGTATTTATTGATGTATCTGCAGAATAAACAAATATTAATTTAATTTATACAAACATGGTATCCATGGTTTTCATTTCACAGTTTTGTAGTGTTTACTCCAGACACTGCTGCTCATGATACAGAGATGATCAACATACTGTAAGAACTCTTGCTAACCATATCCATTGTTTTTTAATAGTTTATGGCAGTTCTTTACGAAGAGCAGACTTATAATTGGTACATGTGGAATTTATCTTTTCTTAGCCATTATCAAAGATAATAGTGAAAAAAATAAAATAGTGACGTACTTTTGAAAAAGCACATGTGAATGTGCAGTTAATTGTGCAGGGCATGAGATCATCACCCAGGCCTTGAGGAAATGTTTTTTTCTACTGAGAGAAACATTCAGGTTTGTCCACAGTAATAAAACCAGTAAAACTAGATTGTAAAGCAAACAGTCATGATCAAATGACACTTGAGGAAATTCTAAGTAAAAGTACAAATAACTTTACACAACATTGATTAAGTTAAGGTAAGTCAGCAACATATGTAAAAAAAAAAAAAAAGAAAGAAAAATACTTTTTTTTAGACAGATTTAATTAAATCAGTTCCTATTCATACTTTATTGTAGTCCATACATTCTCTCTCTCTCTCGCTCTCTCTCTCTCTCTCTCAATTTTTTACCACTTAAGTTTGAAATAGAATTTTATGTATAAATAATATATATTATTTTAAAATTAAAATAAAATGGATCAAAAGTGACAGACATTTCTGCTACACAAGTTTTCTATTTGAAATAAATTGTTATTTTCAGCTTTCTATTCATCAACGTTCCATGAAATAAACACATTACAGTTTTAACCAAAAATAAGCTGCTTTGAACATTTCTTATAATAATACGAAATGTTTCTTGAGCACCAAATCAGCATATTACAACGATTTCTGAAGGGTCATATGACAATAAAGCCTGGAGTAATGATTGCTGAAAATTCATTCATTTGATGTCAGTGTGACATCAAATGAATAAATTGCAGTTTAAAATATATTAAAATAGGAAATAATATTTTAAATTTTTAGGGATGCACCGAAATGAAAATTCTTGGCCGAAGCCGAACAAAATGAAACACTGGGCCAAACTACACAAGTTTTCTATTTGAAATAAATTGTTATTTTCAGCTTTCTATTCATCAACGTTCCATGAAATAAACACATTACAGTTTTAACCAAAAATAAGCTGCTTTGAACATTTCTTATAATAATACGAAATGTTTCTTGAGCACCAAATCAGCATATTACAACGATTTCTGAAGAATCATGTGACACTGAAGACTGGAGTAATGAAATTAAAATTCAGCTTTGTCATCAGGAATAAATTACATGTAAAGATATATTAAATATAAAACCATTATTATAAATTGTAATAACATTTCACAACATAACTGTTTTTTATTAAATAAATGCAGCCTTGGTGAGCATAAGAGACTTCTTTCAAAAACATTTGAACAGTAGTGTATGTATCTTTCTGTTTAACTGGCACAAATTAATTTTAAAATGACGATTAAAATAATAAAAGCAGAAAAGACTGAGATTCTTTGGACTCACTGGATGGTTTATTGTTTATTTCATGTATCAGGTAAGAGGCAGAAGCAGACTGGAAGTTTATATTAGCAAAAAAAAAGAAAAAGAAAACCGAAGACTTCTCATGTATTTATAACATATTGTATGTCTCTGTCATGCCCATTCAGAATGCTGCTTTGCATAGTAAATTCTAAGCAACGTTGTACACATCAAATTAGAGACACTTGACATTTTGTAATGTGTTAATGTGTAGTGAAGTGACCTTGAACTGAAAAGTGCTCAATACATTCTTAACATTACCTGTAAAGGTGACCGGGATGTGAACTGTAAATACAGAATAAAATGCACTTGAAAAAAAGATGAGTCAGACACTCATGGTGGTTGGTGCAGAGAATGCTTGATGAACATGTTAGTACCTGCTTTACATCTCATTAGAGACCTGAGAGTAGAGGAAACAGCCGTCAGATCACAGAGCAGAGCAGAAGTATGACGTTTAACACAGCGTTGAGTGTTGCTGGAACCATACTTCTGAACATAGCAGGTGAGTCTATAAAATGAAGTATAGATTTAATAATGTTGAAATAGTTTGATAATGACAAGTCAATTGAATTCCTGTTGCTAATGAATTTGTAACTTAAAAACACGGATACCGGCTTAAATAGCAATTGGTGTGAACACATAAACTAGCCGTTTCTCATGATCGGAAACACCTTTTGATTTGAAGTCTTATGTTTGAATGCTTGAAATTGAATTTCAAACATATAAAATGGGATGCCGACTTTGAATTAAACTGTTCTAAAATATGGAAAACTGTGATAATAATAAAGAATGATTAGTGTACAAACAATCAACTGTCTTATACTCCTGTATAATAATAGTATTTATTTGATATTTCAATAACATTTTAATAATAAATATTCCATTTAAATATTTCATAAATAATAGTCCCAAGAGGGGGTTTCACAATGATGCCTCAGAAGGACCATTTTTTGGTTCCCCAAATAAGCTTTCAGTGAACAGCTATTATTTATTTATTATTATTATTTTTACATTTTTTATGTGAAGAACATTTTAATATTCTAAATAACTTTTTCCACCATAAAAAAAACTTTTGTGCAATGTAAAGTTTCCATGGATGTTAAACGTTCTTCATAATAATGGCAATAAAGATAACCTTTATTTTGAAAGCATGTAGCTTGTTTGTTCACTCTTCAAAGCGATGCCATAGAAGAACTAACCTGGGTTCTCCAAAGAACCTTTAAGTACACAGTTCTTAAAATAACCATTATGAAGAACATTTTAATAATCTAAAGAATGTCTTCCACTATATAAAGATCATTTTTTGAAATGAAAAGGTTGCAGGGATATTAAAGTTTCTTCATGGAACCACAGATGCCAATAAAGAACCTTTATGCTTAACGGGTATATGTCAAATCTATGAAATAAGATAGTACTAAAGCATAATTATTATAATGTAGATAAGTTAGTCCAAGTATGTCACTAGGGTAAAAAAAAAATAATCTTGAAAGTGGCTGTAAGACCTATTTCACCAGCTGCACACGTAAGCAGCGAGTCCGTATGTACACTGCTCACGCAAGCATAGTGACACATAGCAGGAAAAATTGGTATTCACTCAGAAATTGCTAGTAAATGAATTACAAAGAATCAGCAAGTAACACATTGAATTAAACGTGATTTTTTAAAGTAAAAAGACTGAAATAGTATTTTAACCCACTGATTCTTTTTGTAGATTAATTACCCTTTAGATATCAATTTGATTCCATAAATTCTATTTAAATTAGTCTGAATTAAGTATAGCGCTTACAGGCCAATTCCCGATAACCATTTTATAATTTAGGGCCATTATTAAAACAAATACTTCATTCAGTAACCCAAGATGCTGTACAGAGAACACATGAACCTGCTTTTGTTGTTACACTGCTGCTTCACATGGTGTGAAACAGGCTTCCTAATTTAGCTCACAGGACTGACAGGTTCAGCTTCTATTTTTTAAGACAATGAAATCATTCAACAACCTGGCTACAATCCCTAAATACCTAATGTGAAACTATTATCTTGATTCACGCCAATGGTATGTGCCGACATGTAAAAGGTGAGGTTGCAGGGGTGACCGTGATTTCACCAAGTACAACATGCTCCTGAATCAACATCCTTGTTGATCCTGGAACAACATTCCTATCAGAACCAATCAGAACTGAGGGATAACTTTTCAGGGAATATCTGTTTTAGGCTTACAGTCAGGGTTAGGTGCTTCTACACCCTTGTTAATCAGCTATCATTTCACACTGGTTTTAGGAATAAATTATGGGTAGGGTTAGGTTTAGGGGTAGGGATTGGGTTAAGTCTATATTTTTGGACAGTTACTGTATGTTGATCCAGGATCAACAAAATATGTTGAACCAGGAACATGTCTTACTTGGCAAAATGACAGCGACCAGGTTGCAGGCTACACAAACCAGTTCATCCGCTCCATTCATGTTCATCTAATTGCTTGGTCTCTGTTTTCCAGGTTCTTTCTGCCAGTTAGATGGTAAGTTGTCATAGACTTAACGACCATAAAACTATTGTTCCACATATCTTGTGTGCATTAAATTATTATATCATTTTAATTGGGAATTCCCACATCGTCTTTCCTCTCATCAGTATGTGGTCAAGCCCCCTTCAACAACAAGATTGTTGGAGGGCAGGATGCAACGGAAGGTGCTTGGCCGTGGCAAGTCAGCATTCAAAGCGCCACATTTGGAGGCCATTTCTGTGGTGGGAGTCTAATCAATAAAGACTGGGTTTTGTCTGCAGCTCACTGTTTCCAGAGGTATGAAGTTTAAATACAGCTCAAGACACTATTATGAACTGATGCTAGTTGAATTAAAACTGACTTTCCCTATATACAGTTCAATGAGTACCATTGAGATCTACCTAGGACGTCAGAGCCAGTCGGGCTCAAACCCTAATGAAGCTTTCAGGACAGCGAGTAGAGTCATCAACCATCCTGACTATTCCGATCCTACCCATGACAACGACATAGCACTGCTCCAGCTCTCCTCATCTGTGACTTTCTCTGAATATATTAGGCCAGTCTGTCTGGCGGCTGCTGGTAGTAAATTTGCTGCAGGTTCAGACAGCTGGGTCACTGGATGGGGAACACTACAGTCTGGAGGTGAGTGAAGATTTGCTTGCAAAACAACAATACTGCAAAGCTCAACAATTAACTGTAATTGGACATTAAAAGCCACTAAAATTGTCCTCTGACCTGTGTCACAGGTGCGTCTCCTGACAAACTGCAGGAGGTGATGATACCAGTTGTGAGCAACAGTGACTGTGATGATGCTTATGACATTCTCAAAATCACAAGCAATATGATTTGTGCTGGATTGTTAAATGAGGGAGGAAAAGATTCATGTCAGGTAAGACATCAGTCATTCATTTGAACATTTTTAATTTACAAAACACTAATTAAAAGTTTTTAAGTAACCTGCAAGCTTTACATTAGTAATTGATAATAATCTATCAGTTTTGCCTTAGTAAAAAACTAGCCTAATGGGCAATCAACACTAACCCAACACTAACCCCTAAAATTGATATTTTACAGTCACTGTTATACATTACACACAACTTAAATCATTGTATAGACTAGTAGGAATTATATATATAAAAAAAAAGTCTGCTAACCAGTGCAACCACTGGTAACAGTCCTATCAATGTCCAGCACAGTTGTATTACTAGAATATGAAATGGTCGAAGTATTTCAATACAAGCATTTCAGTCAAATTTCATGTATGCAATATTATAAAATTAAAAAATAAATAAATATAATTACTATATTTAAATGTACATTTAAATTTAACCGGTTTTCCCCCAAAGGCTGGAATATACACGACTTTTAAAAGCTGAACAGATCTTAAAATACTGGGAATCATACACTTACCAACTTTGTAATAGTCATAATTTGTAATAGTAGTAGTAGGACTTAATATAGTAGGAAATAGTAGGAAAAACTGGCCATCATACTAGCCTACGGTGACCGGGAGGGGACATGTTCGGTTCACTTATTGTTGTTGTGGCCACGACACATTAACACGTGGGAACGTCATATTAACTCGTGGGAATGTGATATTATGTCGCGGCCACGAGATAATTTTGTCGAGGTAATGACATCCTTATGTCGTTGGCACACGATGTGAAGTCTCGAGATCCTATGTTGAGGGAACAACATCCATTTCTCGTGGCCACGACTTCTTATGTTTACTTCTTTCTTATTCTTGTAAATTCTTTAACAGATCATGTATTTTTATTTAATATTTGTATATAAACCTGTATTTATTTGATCCAAAAAAAAAATAATAATATTGTGAAATATTAATTATATTTTTACTATCACTTTTTATCTATTAACACATCCTTGCTGAATAAAAGTATTAATTTCTTTTTTTCTTTTTTTAAAAGAAGAAACAATTTACTGACCCCAAACTTTTGAGTAGTATATTGTAACACCAAAGTTCTAGTTTGAATAAACACTGTTCTTTTTAGGTCCCCAAAAAATATGAAGCAGCACAACTTTTTTTTTAACAGCAGTTTGCAACATTGATTATAAATTAGCATATTAGATTTATTTCTGAAGGAAGACTGGAGTAATAATGCTGAAAATTCAGCTTTGTTTCACAGGAATAAATGATATTTTAAAGTATATTCAAATATAAAACTGTTATTTTAAATAGCAATAATATTTCACAAAATGATGTTTTTTTCTGTATTTTTGATCAAATAAATTCAGCCTTGATGAAAGAAACTTCTTCAAAAACATTAAAAAACGTACTGATCCCAAACTTTTGAATGGCAGAGTGTGTTAGAGAAATTATATATATATAATTTTTACAAAGTGGCCATTCTAAATTGAAGCAACAAATTATTAAATTGTGGCCACGAATTAACAAGTCATGAAAAAGGGTACTCAATTCGTGGCCATGATAATATCTTTTTTTCCCGCATGACTTATACGTCAGCATGACATCAGACCTAGTCGGATGACATTTGGACATATTTCCAACTGGCATGCATCTTGATCGGTTGATGATTGGTTCTGCACACATTTTAATAGTCAGTTTTTAACGTTTTTTTCTGTATTTTCATATATATAAATGTGATATATTATAAATCTTGTATTAATCAAAACAGGGAGACTCTGGAGGTCCACTGGTCAGTAGGAACGGCTCCCTGTGGATTCAGTCCGGCGTTGTTAGTTTTGGTATTGGATGTGCAGACCCTAAATATCCCGGTGTGTATGCCAGAGTCTCTCAGTACCAGGACTGGATCACCTCTACAATAGGCAGCAACCCACCTGGATTTGTCGAATTCAACAACAATGCATTCATAAACTCACCCAACCTCCTTTTATTTGCAGTTTCTCTAACATTCTCCATCATTCCTTCCATAAGCTCCCTATATCTCTCTTCATAGAGATCGTTTTAATGACAGTTCTCAGGTTTTTTGTTGTTGAAGAGAATAATTGTGCTTTACAAGTTTTCAGAAATATGTGAAAAGGTGCATAGTTATATTGTCGTTTATTCTTTATCTTTTTAAAAATGTACTATTCTTGGAAAGCTACACTTACTCATATTTATTGCACATTAATGAAGTTCAGCAAGCTTTTGCCCTCAGAATGTTAATGATTGTTTCATCTCTCAATCCTAATTGCATTGCATTGCATTACGTTTTGCCCCTCACAATAAAAACTACAGAGCTTTAATCATAAAACTAAGCATCTAAATATCATCTAAGACATATTGTTGGGCGATATAGAGTGACAACTGATATTTATTTACATTAAGAAGTCTGCTGTACTGTTATAAAGACCTCAATGATTTACATTACATCATAATCTCATCTTATTTTTGGCCATATAAATATCCAAATAAAACCAAATTGCATATTGTTGCTCAGGTTAGGCTTCTGAATTAAAATGAGGAGTTTTTTCCCGTCGAGTCTGAGCTCCATATTCTCCTAATCATACTAATATGAGCAATAAAAGCCTGATGTAGAAAACAAATTATGAGGTTTTTTGATTTAGTCATTCCAGAGATCAAAGGACTGATTCCATCTTGTGGCAAAATAATATCCACACTCAACTACTGTTGTTGGCTGGAGTAAAAAGTGTAACAACTAACTTTCCCAATATGTGTTAAGTAGTAACATACGATTGGCCTGTGTATGTACCGAGTGTATAAAATCGCCATTTAATGGCAGCAGGTGGCAAAGTGACATTCTGTAACTTAAATTAGAAGCATTAGAGAAATATGCAGACATCAAAGATGAGCAGGGTGTGTACTAAAAACACTGGCAGCAGGCTAGAAGCAAAACAAGCGAAAAACAAGGTGCGTCAGAGGTAAACTAAAAAGGGTTCTACTTGCTTTACTCATCATTAGACATTTCTCAGTAAAAGAAACAGCAAACATTATATAGTCAATAACATGAGGATGACGTCGCGTCCAGCTGTCTGTTTTGCAGGAGCCATACTTCTTAACATAGCAGGTAAGATCTGATATGACACTGCAATAATTAATAGGCAAGATCTTGTTTAATAACCTTATTTTAACCTTGTAATAAAATACAATAAAGTTGTATTTAGTTTAAATTATGTAGGCCTATTCGTCACAAGATGATGGAACACCTTTTGATTAATTCACTTTTATTATTTTCTTTGTAATACCTAAAATTAATACCTGAAATTAATGTTACTTTTTCGTTAAAAACTCAGAATAGTAAAGAGCAATATCATTATTAATTTAAAGTAAATAGAATTAGTTATGCACAGTTAGGATTATTTTTCTTAGCTTGACTGATGAATGGCTTTCAGTCTATTCTATATTACATTATTAAACACAAGTATAATTATTTAATATGAAAAACATTTTGAAAACAATAATGCTACAATGAAACTGGTTGTTGGCTTTATTATTATTATTATTATTTTAAATAAGTGCACTAGGTGTTTATGAGTCTATAATCACAGAACCACAATTTTCATGTACAGATATTCTTTCTATGTTGTAAAAAACTCAGGTGAGCTCAGTGGTGTCACTGGTAGGCCTATGTTCTGAAAGGAAGATAGATAATGTTAAAAACTGTACAATTAAATATATAATTTGTTTTTCTGACAGTGTACTCACCCTCATGTCACTGCAAACCCGTATTTCTTTTCATGTGGAAAACAAAAAGGTGGATTTGTGAAGAATATTCTGGCCACTCTCTTAATATAATGCAAGTGAAAGAGGACTAGATCTAACAAGTTGCAAAAAATGCACCATAAAGGATTTTACAGATCAGAATGTATTTGGTTATTAAGTTTTTTAAATCTTGAAATCCGCCCTCGCTCTTCTTTGAGTGTCCATAAGAGTTCATGATAAGGGTAAAGATTAGTTCACAAAACTAGTCAGAGTGACTAGAGCATAATTCCAAATATCACCATCTTGAGTTCCACAGATCAGTCAGTCATAAAGTTTGAAATGACATTAAGAGTAAAAGGTCTTTATTTTCAGCTAAACTGCACCTTTAAAGGGGTCATATGATGCTGCTAAAAAGAACATTATTTTGTGTATTTGGTGTAATGAAATTTGTTTATGCGGTTTAAGGTTCAAAAAACACATTATTTTCCACATACTGTACATTATAGTTTCTCCTCTATGCCCCGCCTTTCTGAAACGCGTCGATTTTTACAAAGCTCATCGGTCTGAAAAAGCGAGGTGTGCTCTGATTGGCCAGCTATCCAGTGTGTTGTAATTGGCCGAATTCCTCAAGCTAGTGACGGAAATGTTACGCCCCTTACCATACTGTGATGCCTGCGGCAACCACATGCAAAGAAGGAGAAAATCAGAGGAATGATGGATGATGTGAGCGAAAGGGAATGTAAGAGGAGACTGGGTGAGCCCGAGCTGGATTCAGTTGAGGAAAATTAGACAAATCCAGGCAGATCGCTGCTTATCTGAGTGCTGATCCAAGACTGGTATTGAGACACACTAGTGTAAACGCCAGGGAACTTTGGTAGTCCACAGTCTCGACCAAAACTCACAATGCCAGACTGAATCCACTGGGAACCGTTCTTATTTACCATTGGACCTCCAGAGTCTCCCTGCATAGATTAAGAAAACCTAATGTTAATATCAGCAGGGATTTAAAACGGGTCAAAATCGATGCTAACCCCACTTCTAAATTATGAGTGTGAACCGCTTTACCCAGGGATAAAAGCGAGGTTTAGAAAGACGCTAACCCAGGGATAAGCCGGTGTCTAAGTGATATCATACCTGACATGAATCTTTTCCACCCTCATTTAGTCCAGCACACAGAATGTTGCTTGTTATGATTCCTCCATAGCCCTTATTACAAACACTGTTGTTTACAATTGGTATCTGCACCTCCTGCAGAATGTTTGGAATCTGGGTGCCTTTAACATAAATGGCATGGTGGAAAAAGTTTCATTATTTTCCATTGACAAACACTACACAAAGTTTTGAATCAGAGATGTGTTTGATTGAACTCACCTACAAAACTGAGTTTGCCCCATCCAGTGATCCAACTCTTAGTACCTCCACCAAATACACTACCAGCAGCTGCCAGACAAACTGGCTTAATATAATCAGTGAATGTCACAGAAGAGGAGAGCTGGAGCAGTGCTATGTCATTGTTTTGGGTAGTTGTGCTATAGCTGGGATGGGTGATGAGCCGAGTCACTATCCTGGAGATCTCATTCGGGTTTGAGCCCATTTGGAGGTGACGGCCAAGGTACATTTTTACATTTAATGCAGCGGTACTGTAAATGGAGGCAAATATCAGTCTTAATTCATCTACTATCTATCTATATATGTGTCATGTTATAATAGCTATATATCACTTCATACTTCTGGAAGCAGTGAGCTGCAGACAAAACCCAGTCTTTATTGATTAGACTCCCACCCCAGAAATGACTTCCAGATGTAATTTTATGAAGGCTTGCTTGCCAGTGCCAAGACCCCACAACGGCACCTTGTCCTCCAACAATCTTGGTGTTGAGGGGAGCCTGACCGCATACTGATGAGAGAAAAGAAGGTTGATTTTTCTTGTTGAAATCAACATGAATCAAAATTAATTCAGTTTACTTTTTCTGAATAATCTTAAGTTGTTACTAAATATATGACATTATAATTAAAATTCATGCTCCAATTCATTAATTCCAGACAAATTAAATCAAATCTAAACACAAATAAGGTAATTTAAATTCCACTTTTTTTATTTAATGTTTGTATGGTCATTAAGAGCATAGAAACTTACCATCTAACTGACAAAGTGAGCCTGTAAAAATGAAAAATTAAATATTTTGAGTTGCTAAATGGATTAGAGACTATAAAAATGAATATTATTTTATTTATGTTAGTTTTCTTGACAATAATTTTAGATCAGTCAGAACTGGTTCACACCGAGATATGCAAGTGTAGAAGCGCTGACACAAAGCTGATAAAACTGGTTCTTTGAGTAGCGCATATCTGTGTTTCCATTCATATCAATATTATTAAAGACCAAGTCATAATTCTCTGATTTATGCCATTTTGGTTATACTTTAAAATGTTATAGTATTATAGTATGCTTTAAAACCAGTGTTCTGTTAGTATATAGGCCTATACACACACAGCCATTGTCCACAAATTTTATTAACATGAATCAATACAAATGCACTGCAGTCACATTATATTTAAATAATTTTTTGTTGTGCAATAACCTAATACTTTGTCTCTGGCCTTAATGTCTGTAGTGGAAGCCCAAAACAATCAAACTGCTCTCTGTAATAAACAGGGAAGGAGTGTAACTTATGCACACTGATGGCAAATTGGACATAGGCTAATTGTTTGTACTGGCAGTAGACTCCAGTGTCCTAGCTGATTTTGCGTGGAGTGCAGTGGCAGAGGAACTGCTGGCTCAAACTCATTCACAAACCGTGCCTAGGTACGCAGGAATCTGTGCTACTTCTGATAAGAATAAATGTTTCAGCTTTCAGATTCTGCCCATGTTATCACAATATTCAAATAATGAACATAAAAAAAAGTTGTTGAAAGATCCTGTACAACTTACCGAAACGCTCAATTAGTGTTTCAAACGCGCAAAGACATCAATAAAACAGCTTGTGAACAATATGTCACTTGACGTTGCATTTACCTCAGGAAAGTGATCCAGTGTTCACAGTTCGTTAGTTTGCTTAAAAAAATAAAACACTAGAGGGAGCTTAATTATACAAGTATGTTTGAATAAATCTGACATGATGACAATGAAAACTTTGTGCAATTGAGTTGGACTCGGCTGTTAATTTTAACCTCTAAAATTATAAGAAAAGAGCGGACAAATATCGCAAAGTCTAGATGTGCAAAGTTAGTAGAGACGTATCCCAACAGACTAAAGGCTGTAATTAAGGCAAAAGGTGGTTCAACAAAATACTG